CAACTCTGCTTAGAATAGCAGCTTAAAAGCCTGGTTACATGGAACTCCATCCCACTTTCTCATTTAGGAATAAACTCCAGATTCCGAAGAATATTGGGGAAAACAGTATTATGAAAGAATATCAGTTTATCAAAATCTAATTTACCATGACTATATTGACACACACACAATCACCAAAACACAATGATCCATCTGCTGCCACAACAAACAAACCCCAAGACTGTCCCAACTAAAGTAGTCAGGGTGTTTTCCTCTCTGCATTGATTGGGCTTTTTCAAGCTGCAAACAGAAATTCCTTTGGAATTTCCCAAATCAAGAGGAGCCAATCCCACTCTCTGGTACCTGCAATGAACACTCAGTTGCTGGAACACACACACAATTACAAACAAGCCATCAAGAAAGTCCATATCAAAACAGTCAGGATGCTTCCCTTTCTCAGTCATTTGGGATTTTTCAACCTGCAAATGGAAATTCCTTTAAAATGTTCCCCAGTAGAGAAGAGCAGATATTGCTGTCTGGGCCCACAAAGGACACTCATCTATCCAGAGGCAGATGTAGAATTTCAAAGGCTATTCTTCCTAGGCAATCAGGAATGTGGTTTGGGCACATAGCAGCAGGGCCAGAGAGAATCCAAAACTCACCTCCAGTCAAAACTGGGTGGGCAGCTGCTTAGGAGGGCCTCTGAGACTTGTGGCCCATGGCAGCCAAGCCACAAACAACATGTTTACTGTCAGGAAACCAAAATCTGTTGTTGAAACACCCTGATCCATGTCCAGCTGCTCACTGCACAGAAAGCCAATCACTGAGACAACAAGTATTGCCAAGGAAGAAGGCTTTAATCAGGTGCTGCAGCTGAGGAGATGGGAGATCAGTCTCATATCCATCTCTGTAACTGACTAAAATTAGGGGTTTATAGGGAAGAAATATAACTACATGCAGCAAAGCAGGAATTAGGGGTAAAGAAGAGGAGTATGTCAACAAGAAGCAGGTAGTCAGTTAGGCAGCCATTGGGGGTGAGTTATCTGGGTTGCATTGTCCAGATGTGGTGACCTGGTGTATTTCAGTTCCTTGATACAGTTTGAGAGGCCTGATGGTTGGTTTCCTGAGAAAGGACCTCAGATAAGACAAATGAAACTTTCTGAGGTTTCAAAACGGGGGGGTCAAGTTTCACGTTTATTCAAAAGAAACTATAAACATCAGTTCTATAGGACAATTGGTTAAGTTTCAAGTATGGCTGACCCCCTTTTCTCTGCATCCACATGGCAAGCAGAGAAAGGATAGTGAAAACCTACAGGCCACTTTTGACAGTTTAATTTAAAAGTAAACAGGCTTCCAAATGAACCTACCTTGGGAAGGTCTTGTGATTCATGGTGAAATCCTGTTCCTGAATCTCATGATGAGATCCTCAAGTTGTTGACACACTGATTAATGCATACCCCACTGACCCTGAAAAGGGTGCTGACTTATTTCTGAATCATAAAATTTTACTGATTGTCTTGCATGAAGACATTTGAGCCTGTATGTTACAATCTGTATCCAACGATTGTAACCTCTCTATTGTATCCTTCAATGAGAAAGGACAATTCTGGTGTGAGGAGTCCCTCTTCCTTCTCCTGACTCTACCTATAAAATCATTACAACTTGTAACAGACTCTGGAACACTCTCAACTTTGTTGGTGTGTTTTCTTGGATTGATCCTCACATTTGGCTTTCAATAAACCATTTTCAAATTCTTCCTTTCTCAACAGGCTTAATTTTGGTCAACATTCTAGTGTAGTTGGCAGAATTTTGGAGTGACCTCCCTGGACCACATAGAGTGGCTTCCAACCTTTGTGCAGGTACTGGTAATGAACACATAACACATTGTGTTCCTGAACTTGGATGCCCTGGCTGGGTGTTGCAGACGAGTTCCTCCCAAAATAAATGAACTTCTCATCGTGGTGGAAGTTCTGGTTTTTTGAAGCTGGTTTTCTCCTTGACTAGACAGGAGTTTTTGTTGAATCCTAGGGTAGCATAAAATAGGAGCTCTGTGAATTGTTTCTCTCAAGGGTTTGAATGGGACAACCTTTCCTTAGCTTTCTCCTTTTTGAGTGCATGAGGGAGGGCACTCTTGCTCTGAAGTTAAGAAACCTTCTCTGTCTACAACCAAGTGGTTTTTAGGAAACCCAAAACAGCAGAGGTGTCAGGGCATACCCCCACAACATGGAGCAGTCTCATAGGAAAATCCCCACACTGTTAACTTTTTGCTCAGCTGGCAGGCTTCATAAAAACTGATTATCTCTTGCCCATGAATACCCTGAAATTTCTTTGGAGGTGACTCTGGAATCAGAGACATGTAAGAGAATCTTTTCAGCCTATTGAGTGAAATTTTGGGGAACAAAAATTCAAAACCACCACACTTGATCCACTATATTACTTGTTTCATTCAAAACAACCAAGATGGGAAACAGCACCAGCTGATTTGATATGCAACACTTAGGGTCCTTCTTCTTGCAAGTACTTAGATAAGTGGACCCATGTAACCCAGGATGGTCATAAGCAGCACTGGCCAAAATGGGGATCTTTTGAAAATGCCTAAGCTGATGTATTGCCATGCACAATTGGAAAAAGCTGGTTTTAGAACCAGACAAATTGACTTACTTCCAAAAGCAGTGAGATGCTCCTAAAAGAAATCCTGGGGGAAAAAAATGGCCTTCATTGAAGAGATAAGCAAAAGGCTATCTCACACTATTTCTGATTTGAAAAAGACTTCAAAAGCTTTCTCCCTTTCATTCCAATTGCTTCTCCTCCTTCTACCCCTGTGCCTTCATATTCTTCCTTAAATGAATTTATTCCTTTCTACTTGTCCTCTTGGCTCCCATCTGTCTCTTAGGTAGAGATTTTTGCAATGTCACAATACACACATTTCCTTCTCTCAAAAGGGGGAAAACGTATTTACATTTGGAACAGAAGGAGCAAACAGAACAACTAAAGAATGAAAATGAAACAAAATGATCACAATTATCACCAACATTTTTTTCTGACCCAAGACTGACGAATGACACTGATGAGTTATTGCAAGTTTTGCTGGATCATTTATGCTCCCAATCTCCTGCTGACATTGGTAAAACGTATTCAACCACCCCCATTAAAGTGGAAGTAAACCCAATTAAACCCTTTATCCGATATCAGATAATACCCTTTAAATGCCCTGCTGGACTTCACAGTCCCTTGGAGATGTAAAACTTCATTAGCCTTATGGAAGGATTAAATTCTTTCTCTGTGCTTTAAGATACAAATTTGCTACACTCAGTAAGGGCTTCGGTCATGCAGGACAGATAACTTTAACTTGTACCATTTTGAAAGGCACAATTTAATTCAACCCTCCTTTTAAACTAGTGAAATTTACCTGATTCATGACCAGAATTTTAAAAGCAGAGCTATAAAATCTCTATGTAGTACCAGATTGACTTATAAATACATTAATGCTCAGGAATTAGTAGTCCCAAATATCTAAGTTCACATGACTTGAATAAATCTTTTGATAAGTATGACTGATTAAATATTTTTGCTTTAATAAAAACAACTATCTTCTGAGTTATCAGCAAAATACTCATATATTTAACTTTAAGGTTCTTTCTTAAGTGAACATCTGATATTCACAGGCTATAAAATTGGTTGACAGGAAAATAACTTGAAATGATGACTAGCTTTGTCTAATATATCAGTTTTCATAAGTAATCTAGGTAAACTGTTAAAAATAAAGTAAATGTAAATGGGATAAACATATATAAACTTTTAATGTAATTTAAAATCTTAAAGTTTTGCTAAATAAAACTCAAAAATAGATGCTTATTAAACATCTAGGTCAATTCCAATTAAGATAAAAAATGTTTTTGTTAAGAGAAAATGTTTCTAAAAATTATAAAAGAGTTCTCATTTGTAAGATACTGTCATGTGACAGACAATTCAAGATTTCTTGTTTCCTAGGTTTTCAATAAAATTTAAAGTTACTGAAAGTTTAAGCATTCTAATTAATATATATAATTCTACATTTAAAATGTGTCAAAAAAGTAAGATGTGTTTTTAATGACAGAAAATTATAAGAAGGCATAAAAATATGTTCTTTCTGAGAAAAAGTAATTGTGTTTAATTCAGGGGTTATTTAAGGTTGTTTTAAAGTAATGAGCAATATAGAAAGGAACCAGTAAGAAGGAGAGAGAAAAATGAAAAAATTTATGAATATTTTTGGTAAGATAGGTTAAAAGAGAATAATTTTACATGAGAAAAAAGTCTTGTATGGTAAATTTTTTGTTCTAAAGTAAAATGTCTAGTTATTTAAGAAAGTACAGACAAAAGCAAAAAGTCCAAGCATTTCATAAACAGTCTAAGTCATAATAAGGTTTGTGAAAAGAAACCCTATGAAATAAATTTTGTATATGATCAAGTTAGCTACAATGAAAAGGAAATTATAAGTCTTTCTAAAGATTGAGATTTGATATTAAAACTACACTGATAAAAAACAAAAAATTTGGTCCCCTATGTTAGAACAAGATTTGCTTAAAATATTGCTTTGCTTTCAATAAAATTAAAAGAGATACTGATTTTTAATTCTAAAATCTCTTTCTTTTTAAAACTTTTTTTTTTTTTTTGAGATGGAGTCTCACTCTGTTGCCCAGGCTAGAGTACAGTGGTGCAGTCTTGGCTCACTGTAACCTCTGCCTTCTGGGCTCAAGCGATTCTCCTGCTTCATCCTCCCGAGTATCTGAGACTACGGGCACATGCCACCATGCCTGGTTAATTTTTTGTGTATTTTTAGTAGAGAGAGTTTCACCATGTTGACCAGACTAGTCTCAAATTTCTGACTTCAGGTGATCCGCCTGCCTTGGCCTCCCACAGTGCTGGGATTACAGGTGTTAGCCACCGCGCCTGGCCCAAAACTTATTTTTATTAAGATAATTCCTGTATTGTCTTTACTACGTTTTTGAGTACTCAAGAAAACATTCTTATGGCAATGGTTATTTGCACAAATTCAATAATAATCTGTTTCTTTTGTAACAGGACAGATTGGAAACACTGATTATTTTACCAAGGCTTTGACTAGGGTGTCGTATTTTCAAGTATGACACCATTGTTTTGAGGGATTGAGATTGGCTTTGTAGAACCAATAGACATGGAAGAAGACCGACCTGATACCTTGTCTACACAGTTCCCTCATAGAGTTTTTAAAAAAATTTTATTTACTTAGAAGCATTCAGAATGTCAACAAAACAGCTGCAACGGTTTTTTTTGTTTTTGTTTTTTTTTTCAATTACAGCGTGGTATTCAGTTAACAGAACAGCAATTATTTTATATAAGCTGCATCAGAGACAACTGAAGATGAAAAAACTACCATCCTCATATAAAACTAATTTGTGCTGTGCACTAACAAGAATCTGCTTTAAATTTCCATGCCAATTTACAGCCCCCATACTGTATCAGGCAAGGTTAGCGGCTATTGAAAATACCACCAGGACAGGGCTCTCTAAAGACACATTCGGTAGTGGTTAACTATACAAAAAAAGACAGCGTACAGTTTAAAAACAAATGTTACACAGTCTTGCATTTAAGTTTTTTTCTTTAAAGGGAGTGAGTTGTGTACAGGTGGCTTAAATGCTTTGTAGATAAGAAAAAAATTGCGCTAGAACCAACTTATTCATCATCATCTTCTTCTTCATCTTCATCTTCTTCCTCTTCCTTCTTTTTCTTGCTTTTCTCAGCCTTGACAACTCCGTTTTTTGCTGAATTAGGCTTTCCTTTAGCTCGATATGCAGCAATATCCTTTTTGTATTTTTCCTTCAGCTTCGCAGCCACCTTTTTATAAAACTGCTTGTCAGCTACAGCAGTGTTATTCCACATCTCTGCTAGTTTCTTCACAACACCATCAATGGACAGGCCAGGATGTTCTCCTTTGATTTTTGGGCGATTCTTAGAGCAGAACATGAAAAAGGCCAAAGGAGGACGCCTGGGTGCACTGGGATCCTTGAACTTTTTTTTCTCCCCTTTAGGAGGGATACGGGTTTTCATTTCTCTTTCATAACGGGCCTTGTCCGCCTTTGCCATATCTTCAAATTTTCCTCTCTCTTTAGCAAAAATGGTCTTCCACATCTCTGAGCACTTCTTAACAAATTCTGAGAAGTCGACGGAAGCATCTGGGTTCTTCTTCTCATGCTCCTCCTGACAAGTTTGCACAAAAAATGCATATGATGACATTTCGCCTCCCAGCTTCTTAGGATCTCCTTTGCCCATGTTTAGTTATTTTTCCTCAGCAAGGTACAGAGTCGCCCAGTGCCTGTCCAGCTCTCACTTGCCCCAGCACTGTCTCTATGGAGCTCAATGTACTGCAATCCCTTGTAGGTGTTTTGACCTCGTGTTAAGTAATGTCCCTTCCTGACAGGCCCAGAAACTTTGAGGTATTTGGAGGACTTCAAGAAAGGAGGAATTTACCCAATTATTACAAGTAGTAGAGGCACGATCTGATGATAAATCCTTGACTTGGCTTTCTATCCTGAAGAAGCTTTTAAAAGTTTAATCTAGGCCGGGTGCGGTGGCTCACACCTGTAATCCTAGCACTTTGGGAGGCTGAGGCGGGTGGATCATGAGGTCAGGAGAATGAGACCATCCTGGCTAACACGGTGAAACCCCGTCTCTACTAAAACTACAAAAAAAATTAGCTGGGAGTGGTGGCGGCGCCTGTAGTCCCAGCTACTCGGGAGGCTGAGGCAGGAGAATGGCGTGAACCCAGGACGCGGAGCTTGCAGTGAGCAAAGATTGTGCCACTGCACTCTAGCCTGGGTGATGGAGCACGACTCCATCTCAAAAAAAAAAAAAAAGTCTAATCTAAAATGTGTAATAAAAAAAGGAGCCTATATGGACAATCACTATTCCTGCTGCCTTTTACATAAATAATCAGGTCAAACACAACAAGGCTAAAACTTATATTGCAAATAAAATTGACCTATGATTTTTCTTTGGCCGAAAAGGGAGATTGAAGAGAGAAAAATTATCTTTCAGAAGAAAATTATAGCGTAGTTGTTACTAGATTCTAGTCCGGACCATTGTTTTTGAGTTTCAAAAATTACTATTTACTTGCAATTTGGACTTAATTATTTCCTGGCTATAGTAAGTCTCTAAAGCAGAACCTGGATTTAATTTTCTTTCTTAGTTGGCTCCCTAATGGAATAGGGTTTTTTCCCCCCCACTCTAGTATACAAATTCTCTTTTTGATTTTAATTTTTGTGTGCATTATATTTCTACTATTCAAATTACTGATGCTATGAATCTCTCATTGTTTTACTTCTTCCAAGAAAAGTAAAATTATGAAATTCTGAAGACTAGAGATGATTCAGCAAGCAACAGCAACTATAAGTTGATGACTTGTTCGTTTGGTTACTCTTAGGACTAATTTCTTTATTCTATTGCGGTTTTCAAGTTGTTGTGATTATAATATTAGGTTGGTGCAAAAAAGTAATTGCGGTTTTCACCATTACTTCTGGTGGTAAAAACTGCAACTTCTTTTTTTGTGCCAACCCAATAATAAACATAGTTTATTTTCTTGGCTATTAAGTCACTCATGATTTGCATTTCTGCTTGCTTTAGATCAACGGCTAAGGCCAAAATACTGATTTCCCAGTGAGACGATTTATCATTCGGGAAAATAGCATGTAGCCTTGTGTTATGACCTACCTCATGTTGTCAGCAAACTGGCCTGGCTGCAGTAACAAGGTTTTTTTCCCCCACCGAGGGACATGACTCCCTGGAATAAGCCTTCCCATTGACAAGGAATGAAGAACATCTATCCCCCTAACCTAGCAGATTGATCAGCAGTGCTTCCATGGGAAGATTTTTTTTTTTAATCAAAAGGGGAATGTGATAATCTACAGGTCACATTTGGCAGTTTAGTTTAAAAGTAAACAGGCTTTCCAATTAGCCCACCTTAGGAAGGTCTTGTGATTCATGGTGAAATCTTGTCCCTGAATCTTATCATGAGTCTCTCAAACTGTTGACACAGTGATTAATGCATAACCCAGTGACGCTGAAAAGGACACTGACTTATTTCTGAATCTTAGAGTTTTACTGATGGTCTTACATGGAGACATTTAAGCCTGTATGTTGCGATCTATATCCAATAATTGTAACTTCTGTATTGTACCCTTCAATGAGAAAGGAAAGCTCTGGTGTGAGGAGTCCCTCTCCCTTCTCCTAACCTCTTCTACAAAACAGGGGTTTCCAGCTCCTGGGGTAAGGACTCGTACCAATCCATGGCCTTTAAGGAAATGGGCCACACAGCAGAAGGTTAGTGGTGGGTGAGTGAGTGATGCTTCATCTGTATTTACAGCAGCTCCCCATTGCTCGCATTGCTGCCTGAGCTCCGCCTCCTGTCAGATCAGCAGCAGCATTAAATTCTCATAGGAGCACAAACCCTATCATAAACTCCACATGCAAGGGATCTAGGTTGTGTGCTTCTTTTGAGAATCTAATGCCTGATGATCTGTCCCTGTCTCCCATCGCCCCTAGATGGGAACGTTTAGTTGCAGAAAAACCAGCTCAGGGTTCCCACTGATTCTACTTGATGGTGAGTTGTATAATTATTTCATTATTTCATTATCTATTACAATGTGATAATAATAGAAATAAAGGGCAGGATAAATTTAATGTGCTTGAAACATCCTCAAATCACCTTGTCCCCAACCCCATCCTGGTCCGTGGAAAAACTGTCTTCCACGAAATTGGTCCCTGGCACCAAAAAGTTTGGGGACCTCTGCTATAAAAGCATTTCAACTTGTGACTGGTGTGGTGGCTCATGCCTGTAATGCCAGCACTTTGGGAGTCTGAGGTAGGTAGATCACAAGGTCAGGAGTTCAAGACCAGCCTGGCCAGCATGGTGAAATGCTGTCTCTACTAAAAATATAGAAAATTAGCCAGGCATGGTGGCTCACACCTGTAGTCCCAGCTACTTGGGAGGCTGAGGCAGGAGGATTGCCTGAACCCAGCAGGTGGAGGTTGCAGTGAGCCAAGATTGTGCCACTGGACTCCAGCCTGGGCAATGGAGCGAGACTCCATCTAAAAAAAAAAAAAAAAAAAAAGGCGTTTCAATTTGTAAAAAACTCCAAACACTCCCAACTTTGTTGGTGTGTTTTATTGAGTCACTGCTCACATTTGGCTTTCAATAAATCATTACCAAATTATTTTTTCCTGGCCAGCACTGTGGCTCATGCCTGTAATCCTAGCACTTTGGGAGGCTGAGAGGATCACTTGGGTTGGGAGCTGGGAGGTTCACTTGAGCTCAGGAGTTGAAGACAAGCCTGGGCAACATAGTGAGACCCTGGCTCTACAACAAATTTAAAAAATTAGCCGACGTGGTGGCATGCACCTGTAGTCCTGGCTATTTGGGAAGCTGAGGTGGGAGGTTCACTTAAGCCCAGCAGGTTGAGGCTGCAGTGAGCTGTGATTGTGTCACTGCATTCCAGCCTGGGTGACACAGCAAGATCTTGTCTCAAAGGAATTTATTTATTCCTAAACAGCCTTGATTTTGGTTGATAATGGAGCCTGTGGAATCAAGTTTGTACATCACTGAGCACCAGTCAAGAAATGAGAGTAAGCATGCCTCATCATTTGCCAAGTGGTGATGGTTTTTGTCCTAACCAGCTCAGCACACTGAGCCTAAACCTCCCTCAAGACGGGCAATAGGGGCTTCATAAGAGACTCACTTTTCCTGTGTGTGTTCCTCTGCAGAACTAATGACAGAGTCCACACCTCGAACTCGCCAGCTTGGCTCAGCCTGTTCCTTCTGGCTGAGTGAGCTCTGTCTGCACCTTGGAATGGATATTCGGGATTTTCCTGTCCATTCATGCCACCTACTTGAAAATGCTTTTATTTTCTGACATTTGATCCTTCTCCCTAATCAGCAGGCCAGCCCTGCCCATTACTACTTCAAGTTCTTGTCTCTGGAGATCTCGGTGATCTAGAGCTCAGTCTCCCGTACTCACTTTCTAAGGGAAATGAGGAAATTTGAAGATTTCTACTGAAAAAAAAAGGATGCTTTTGCACTGAGATACCCAATCCCAGACCCAGGTACCTGGCTTGCATCTGCTCATCACACACAGCAACATACTCCAACTGAGACTGAGCATGATTCGGGGAAAGGCAGTCATGACATAGTGTGCCTGGAGAAAGACTTGACCTATTTTGGGGTCATAGTTGGAAATTTATACTTACACAAGGGTCAACTAAGGTATTGTTGTGAGACTCCAGTATTCTCTGTTGAAAAAAACAGAAAGATTGGTATAATATTGAGTGTGATTTTTCATTAACCCCCCATTCGAACAGACTTCTTTATTTTTAAGAGATTCATGCCACAGCCCTTCTTTTGTTTCATGTCTGCTTTCATGGGCCTGCACATCTAACTGAAGAATAAAAAAGCACTAAATTATGTGTCAGTGACAGTTTGGCCCAATGCAAGTGCAGTCTCCTGGCTCTCACACCCCAGGCAGGCCTTCGTGAAGCCATTCAGGGCGACTGAGCTGGAGCAACTCTGTTGGTCCTCCTACTTCAAGGGGCCTGCAGGCATGTGTGTCTACATTTGGAAGTGTCCAGGTGCAGTGGCTCACGCCTGTAATCCGAGCATTTTGGGAGGCTGAGGAGGGCAGATCACAAGGTCAAGAGATCAAGTCCATCCTGGCCAACATGGTGAAACCCCGTCTCTACTAAAAATACAAAAATTAGCTGGGTGTGGTGGTGCGCGCCAGTAGTCCCAGCTACTTGGGAGGCTGAGGGAGGAGAATCGAGAGGAGAATCACTTGAATCCAGGAGGCAGAAGTTGCAGTGAGCTGAGATTGCACCACTGCACTCTAGTCTGGTGACAGAGCTAGACTCTGTTAAAAAAAAAAAAAGAAGAAAGAAAAAAAGAAAAAAAGGAAGTGTCATTCCATCCAGAGAGGCTGCAAAGGGAATCGGCTGACTCTTCCTCCACAGCTCCCAGTGACCACAGGGCCCAGAGTCCTGGACGCCATGCAGGTGTCCCAGGAAGAACTTCCCCCCCTTTCTGCGGCTCTCCAGGAACACATCTTTGAAGACAAAATGCCTCCAAGATCCCCAGTACTGTAGCTCTTCTCCTGAAGGTAAGCACCTCTCCACTTTCTCCTGAATCTTGAGAGCTTGCTTTGACCTAGGGTATCTGTGGGATGAAACAATGCCTGCTTCAGCTTTTACCTGTAGCTCAGGGCAGAGAGGCCTTAGACAAACCACTCAGTGTGATCAAAGGCACAATGATAGAAGAGGTGGCCATATTACCACCTGCCAGAAGCAATCTAGGCCTTTTGGCTAAGGTAAAGTATAGTATCTTAGTGGCCTAGAATCTCCCACTCCATCCCATTAGTTATTCACGCAGGTAAGACAATGAAGTTGACAGAATCCTTCAGGTTCATCCTTTTGGCCTCCTTTGTTTTGCATTATTTCATTGGTCAAGGCCTATCACCTGGAGCTTGGCAGTGGTTCCACAGTTGTTTGTTGAATGGATACATAAGTGCATGAACAAATGAACACAATTGTCACTTGGGACAAGAGGTTTCTCCCTCTTCCACAGCCAGTAAATGATTAGCTTGGACTTTTACATCTTATTATCCTGGAGTATCTCACCTATCGCCAGCAGGATGAACAAAAAACTTATCAGCAGGAAAGCTGGCAACAGTAGCACTTACCACGCGGTGCTGAGAGTGACACAAGTGTTAGAAACAAAGGAGAGAGGAAGGAAGATAGACCCTCCGGGGGGACCCTCTGAGAACTGAGGCAATTGCACCTCTAGAGCTGCGGGCCCTCAGGGAATGGAGAGAGGGTGCCTGTGATGAAGGCATGGGAGATGGCCAACTCAATGGATTAGCCCAGATTGCATCAGCCTTGACTGTCTGGCAGCTGGCAGACATGTTTGGTTTTAATAATTATATCAAATAATGTCTCTTTCTCCAGAAAACCCAGTGGATACAGAGCCTAGTCACCGAGTCTCTAGTCATAAAGCCAGTGGAGCAGGTGGCCCCAGGAGCCAGCTTTGTAAAGATTGTGACTTCCTGGTATGGCAGAAATATCCAAGGTCACTCATGTCAGAGCTTATGAAAATTGAAGTTCTTCCATCTCCTTCCTTTGCCAGGTTCTCTCTTATACCCAGCCTTGGAGAGCCATGGAAGGCATCAGTGATCTCATCATTTTTCCTTACAATACACATAGCATGAAGACCACTGGTCTGTGAACTGCACATACTACCTCCATGGAGGGAGAATTCACCTTCACAGATGGAAGTGAGGTCTGCGCAGCCCCTTTGCTGGGGCCAAAGGGCGTCTCCACAAAGGAAAAGATTTTCCAGGTCAGCAGCCTCACAGGGCACTCTGCCTCCCACTCAGAAATTTTCACCTGAAGAACTGCGTGTGTGTGTGTGTGTTTGTGTGTGTGTGTGTTTGTGTGTGTGTGTGCGCGCGTGCGTGTGTGTTTGTGTGTGTGTGTGCACGTGTTTGTGTGTGTGTGTTTGTGTGTGTGTGTGCGCGCGTGTGTGTGCGTGCGTGTGTGTGCGTGTTTGTGTGTGTGTGTGTGTGCATGTGTGTGTGTACGTGTGTGTGTGTGTTTGTGTGTGTATGTGGTGGAAGTAAAAGATAAAAGAAAAGAAGAGAATGTTTTTTGTTGTTTGCTTCCCTGGGTGACATATGGCTATATATGCATTTTAGGGGGAATTTTCCATTAGATCATGTGTAGTGACCATGGGATGTTTCTAGGGGAACTTTTGCTTCATATTTATTTCTAAAATATAGAATCCAGAAAAACCAGTGAAAAACAACCAGCGTTTATGTTGAGGTTGCAAAGGCACATTGTTTTGTGCATTTCAAACTCATGCTTACTCTTCCAACGCCAGCCTTATCTTTTATATTTAAAGAAAGTATGGCGCTGGGCATGGTGGCTCATACCTGTAATCCCAGCACTTTGGGAGGCTGAGGAGGGCAAATCACATGAGGTCACGAGTTTGAGACAAGCCTGGCCAACATGGTGGAACCCCATTTCTACTAAAAATACAAAAAAATAGCCGGGCGTCATGCCACATGCCTGTAGTCCCAGCTACTGGGGAGGCTGAGGCACAAGAATTGCTGGAACCAGGGAGGTGAAGGTTGCAGTGAGCCTAGATCGCACCACTGCACTCCAGCCTGGGTGACAGAACGAGACTCTCTCTCTTAAAAAAAAAGAAAAAGTATGGCATTTAGCTCCTTTACTAAAAAACACATACAGTTCAGTTCTGTCTCTTAATCTATTTCTGAGGATTGCTTCTACCTCTATCTCAAATGTTTTGATGCTCAAATGAGCCCTGGACTTATACATTGAATAATGTTTGAAAGCAGCAACTGTAAAAGCATCGTATTATAAAATCAAAATTTACAATGATGGGTCAATTTAAAGATTGCAAGGCGACAGAGATAGAAAATCAACAACATAATAGACGAGACATTGGCAGAAGGTCACTTGATCATCACCTTTTTTCTTGTGCTTGTTGGTTCTGGCAGAAATTCTTTCTAAAAAAGAAAAGAGAGGAATGATTTGATGGGTTCTTGCTTTTATTTTGTGAGCTTAGTGTTTCTGACTGCCTTCCAAATACTCCTACCTGGATATCCCACTATTAACTCAAATTCAAGGTGTTTTCATGGAAATTACTTTTCATGATTCTCCAGGGATTAAAGGAAGCATTTCAATGCCTTGCTCTGGCCTCACGACTTCTACAATGAGTCCAGAGAATGCAGCCACCTCATTACTCCCAATTTCTTGACACACTGTGGAACAGATTTGCGTGCTGTCCTTTCTCTGTACGTAGAATGCCCCATTCTACATTTTTGCTAGTTGTTTGTCTTTTTAGGCCTACCTCAGTGCAAGAGTTCCACAAAATGGTCCTCAACCTCAAAACCAGAAATGACTTTCTCTTCTCCGAACTATTGTACCTCTTCCTGCAGGTGTCTCTTGTGAGAACACTGACACCCTGTCCAGGCCTGTAATTATGAAGGCACAGCCTTCCTTCTGGGAAGGGGCTCACACTTTGTATACCCTCCATAGCTTTAGATGTGGTTCAATAAGTATTTGCTGAGCAAAGATCTTTTACTTTGTGTGTTAGTTATTTATTTATTTTTAGAGATGGGGTCTTACTATGTTGCTCAGGCTGGAGTGCAGTGCAGTGCCTACTCACAGCCACAATCCTACTACTGATCAGCAGGGAAGTATTGACCTGCTCTGTTTCCAACCTGGACTGTTTCACACCTCCTCAGGCACTCTGGTGATCCCCTATGTTGATGCTGAACTTAGCATGGACACCTGACTGGCATAGTACACTACAGCCCAGAACGCCTGGGCTCAAGTGATCCTCCTGGCTCTGTCTTCTGAGTAAGTGGGACTACAGACATATGCCACTGTGCCTGGCAGATCTTTTTTTTAATTGTCAGAGTGGCATGAGGAAGGACTGTCTGTGGGTGTGCAACAGAAAGCACTGTATTTGGAGTTGAAAGACACACGCTGATCTGCAGCAAAGACCCTGTCGCTGCTTTGTAACATCAAGGGGTTGATATGAGAAGCAATGTTACTTTGAAATGCAATTTATTTCTATTCTCTTATAAGAATAAGTTTGAGGTGGCCTATCCAAAGAAATCTTGTTGAAATGTTTTGTAATCCAGGAACTACATATATATATGTCTATATGTTAAATATATATGTTAAATATATGTGTGTGTGTGTATTTAACATTTACCTCCCCCCCACATTTAAGACCTCTACTCCAACTTAAGTTACTTTCATGTGACCAAATTCCACAGTTTATTAGTGGCAGAGTCAAGGCCACAATTTACTGTCCAACCTTCAAAAGGGTAAGAAATAAAGTACTTAGAGGATTACGCTGTAATATAAGCCAGCCAACGTAATGTTCAGGTGAGAATGTTAGTAATAACGTATGCATTGAGACCTTGGAAGAGGAAGTCATGATGAATTTCTGGACACTGAGAAATTCTGCTAAAGCTTGGTGTTAGTGAAGCGTGACAGCTAAATCCTTGATTTCAGCCATTTGTCACTAGAATACCTCCATCAGGAACTTCAGGGTGTATCCACCGCAGCGTATACTTAGCTTCCAGTTTTTGGATGCTTCGCGGCCTCCTTCAATTTCGAATTCCCTGGGAGTGAACCACCTTCCATCCTCACTCTGTATACATTTCTTTGAGATTCCTGTAAGACCAAGGCAAGGTGAGCTCCCCAACTGTGAAAACACCCGAACTTGGCCCCCGCCATGCTGGGGTCTGGAGTCTCCCACTTGGGCTCAGGATCGTAGCAGTAGAGTCTGAATTTTCCTGTCAGACATCAGGGGTGTCATACCCCGCCTGAAGGAAGAGAGATGAAGGGGACTCTCTTTCGTGTGTGTACATTTCTTTGCCCTTCATGCAATGAGAAGAAATATTACTACCAACATTTACCTTTTCAACGTATTTTGCTATACTCCAAAGGTCGGAGGTGGGTGCAAAGGATGGCCCTAAAGAATGAGCAGAATTCCTTCTCTTCCCTCCTCTGAGACCTGATATAGAGTCAGCCTGAATTTCAGAGGTGGATGAAGGCACAAAGCCCTCTGCCATGCTCTTGGGTCCCCAGGTGGCCCTGGGGAAGCTGTTACTACAGCCACGTCTGCCTTGTCTTGTACCATGTTGTTCAACCAGCAAATGACAATTATGTTTCACATTTTGAACTCATGGCTATTTTGTATTAAAAATAATTATGGAAATGTTATATAGTGGGAGAAGTTAAATTACCCTTATGCAACATAGTCATGGGGCAAACATTTATATTTGTTGGTGCTCAAAGAACTATGTCGTGGGGGAGGTGTCAGTCATGACAGATGAACATTAGTTCTGTAATTTAACAATTGTAACTTGCAAAGTATTTTATGTCTGTTATTTTATTTTTTCTCATAATAATACAGTGAGGCAAGTTATATTATCGTTCTGATTTTGTAGAGAAGGAAGTTCAAGGTTAGAGAGACCGAGCACCTGGCTGTACATGAATCAGACACTCTTGGTATAGCTGAAACTTGAATGCAGGTCTTCTGATTCTAAACCTTGTGATCTTATCATTTAGCAGCAGGCTGTACAGATGTTATGGGAATGGGGCTGTGAAAGTTAGTGCTGAGATTCTCAGATGTGTACATTTTCCACCCAAGTATTAAGGTGCTTGCCCTTGTAGTGGGTGCTAGTTGGATGTCTTGTGGGCCTTTCACATAGGGGAAAGGGGAGATGGCCTCATAGGCTAATGTTTTATGAATTTTAAAAGTGTGAAAATGTCATCGTTGTGCAAAACAGAGTTAACAGAGTGGGCCTGAGACCTTCCTTAGAGGGCCTATATGCAAGGTTGCCCATTGTCTATATGCAAGCTGGGCCACTGGCATTTAGGAATTTGGATTTTAGGAGAGTTCAATCATTCGCAGAACTCACTGTGGGCTAAACTGTTTGTAATAAACAATATGGATAGCCATATTGTTTATCCATAAAGATAAAGCCCTTTAAAGATAAATTCCTCTTATTTATGGTTATAAACAAATGCAATTTATTTATATTCTCTTACAAGAATAAATTTGAGATAGCCTATCCAAAGAGATCTTGTTGAAATGTTGTGTAATCCGGGAACCACCTATCCTAATGTATTATTTTCAGACATATGTAAATAAATTGCATTTATCTATAAACGTAAACGAAGAAGAGGGCTCACTGTGCCTAAACTGTTTGCACAAATGATACGGTTTATGCTGAACACCCACTTTCCTTCTGGGAATCTGGAATTTTGGTATGTGCTAGGCAGAGGGCGCCTATGTGACTGGTAAAAACCCTGGACTCCTAAACTCAGGCTGGTTTCCCTGGTAGACAACATTTTACATGTGTTGTCACAGTTTGTTGCTGCAATAATTAAATGAGTCCTGCATGACTCCACGGGGAGAGGACTCCTGGAAGCTTGCTTTTGGTTGTCTCTGAACTTCACCCCAAGTGCCTTTTCCCTAGGGTATGTTTTGCATGCTTCACTCATAAACCCTAGTTGTAAATATGATGATGTCCCAAGTCCTAGGAAAGCTCCTAGCGAATCATCAAGCCTGAGGCTGGTTTTGCAGACCCTCAAAGCAGGTGTCTACTCCTAAACCGTATGCTATCTGTGTGGATATTTTCCTGCTGAAAATCGTAGATGGACCAGTACACTCACCTTGTTTGAATCGCTCCTTATATAGAGTGCCCTTCACGTCACCACAGGTCACAGGAAGTGCAGGTTGTTTAAAATTAATATTTTTATCTCTGGGAATTCTTGGACCTGCAAGGAAGCATTTTTTTTTTCCATTCCATCTTATTTTACAACTGTGCGTTGTTCCTCCCCACCTGTCTTGAGAGCTTTCTTTTATAATTTAAAATGTATTGGAAGGATTTCCCCCATGATTCAGTTACATTTCAAAGTCTTTCTTTCATGGCACATTAGATAGCTGTAGATACTGTTGTCCTCCACTCCACCCTCTAAAATACTACACAACAGCCTGGCATGTGGTAGGATCTTAACTTTCAACCTGGTTGGTCATATCCACCTATCACACAATGATTTTCCTCCTGATGTTTTGAAGGGAGATTTCTACTCATATTATTGCTTTGACGTTATGTTAAAAAAAACCCTCAAATTTTAGTCTCATCTCCCCCATTCCAGGCATTGACGGAGGGGATAGAGGGCAGGATGGCAGAGCGGCACCTAATGGGGCACCTGCTTTGCTTCACTTCCCTTTCACTTGAGCTTTCTCTGCTGCTAAAAGGGAAGCTTGGTGTAGAGGGTTCTAGAAGAAACTGCACATTGAGAGAGGAGGGATAAAGAGAGATTGATGAAGGGTTCAAATATACCATTAGATAGAAGAAATAAAGCCTGGTGTTTTCAATAGATCAATAGGGTGATTATAATTAACATGAATTGATTATACATCTCAAAATAGCTAAAAGAGAATAATCTGAATGTTCCTGGCATCAAAAAAGGTAAATATTTAAAGTGATGGATATCCCAATAACTCTGATTTGATTATATGAAAGTATCAAATTATCATGCGTACCCCCAAGTATTTTTATCTATTATGTATTAATCAAGCAATCAATAAAAAAGAAAGTGCACATTGCTCGGGGAACCCTGCATGAGCACATGACTGGGGCACTGGGGATCTGGTTCCACTGAAGCAGGTATTGAGGGTATTAAAATGAACTTCTGGTCAACGTTAAGTCTCCAGTACTAGCTCCATATGCAAATTAAGAAAACTGACTTATTGCTCACAGTACAGAATATTAAATATTAAATGTTTAATTATGAAAAACATATTGATCATTTCTTTTTACCTCTTTTTCTTCTTCTTTTCAAAGGTCTATTGTTGGTTTTTCTTCCTGAGAAAGTTGAAACACAACATAAATATTTCTTTGCATTGCAAATAGTAGTGTTTTACAAAACCACCATTCAAATGCAACTTTTCAGGATCCTGTCTAGAACTTAAAGAAAAACATTAAATGCCTAGATCAGGAGTTGGGAACTTTTTTTGTAAAGGGACGGATAATAAGTAGTTAAGGTTTTTCAGTTCATAACCTCTGTTGTGACTACTCAGTTCTGTAGTTGTGTCATCAGTGCATCAAAGGATGCGACTGTGGCTGTGTTCCAGTACAACTTTATTTACGGTCAGCCGGATAGATTTGCCCTGTAGGTCATAGCTTGCTGACCTCTGATCTAGACTTGATTACAACCATGATGCTTAACTGAGATGCATCCTATATTTCTCTATTAATATCTCCAAATCATTCCAAATAAATTTGAAACAGTATTTTACCTGCTTCCCAAGCAACAGGGGGAGAGCAAGAAAGAAGTTGAACATGTATTCAGTGCTTGTTGTAGGCCAGGAGCTATCCTTAGATCTTTGCCTCTATTAACCGACTTCATCTTTACAACAAAATCTATTAAATAGGCGCTAGTACTATCCTCACTTTACAGATGAGGAAACTGATGCTCAGAGATAAATATATAAATTAAAGTGTTGACAATTTTCTTTGGGAAAGAGTTAGAGATAAAAAGTAGCAACATAAGGTCTCAAGACAGACCTCATGGTAGAATCTACCAGTCAGATATGTAAACTTGGAAGGTTTTGTACTGAAAATGGTGAGGAAAATGACCAAGGACTTAAAAACTAACCCAATGAAGGCTATTCAAGAGGAATTTGTAGAAATTAAGGCACAAGGCCTAAGAGTTGTATTGTTAAGGATAGCACACAGGATTGACTTAAAAGATATCTTGGGGCCAGGTGCGGTGGCTCACGCCTGTAATCCCAACACTTTGAGAGGCTGAGGTGGGTGGAGTTCTGAGGCTGAGTTCTGAGGCTGAGGTCAGGAGTTCAAGACCAGCCTGGCGAAACTGTCTCTACTAAAAATTAAAAAAAAAAAAAAAAGTAGCTGGGCATGGTGGTGTGTGCCTATAATCCCAGCTACTCGGGAGGCTGAGGCAGGAGAATTGCTTGAACCCGGGAGGCAGAGATTGCAGTGAGCCGAGATCACGCCACTGTACTCCAGCCTGGGCGGCACAGCGAGACTCCATCTCAAAAAAGAAACAAACCTTGGAAGCATGTATCTATGTGTTGATTGATGTGTCCAAACCAAGAGCCAGTCATTCCAGATGTATGTTTAGATCTGCATCGTTCTAACGTGTTTGCTGAAGTCAGGGATGCAGAGTGGATGCTCTTTCTTTCTAAAGGTCTGTGCCCATTATTCTGTGCCCATGGCTGGTATCATAGGGTGCTGATTTGGGTCCTGCAAGACCCGGGAGAAAACCTCCTCCAGATACTCAATCATGCATGCTTCTTCCTTTGAGCAAATTATGACCAGATTAGGTTGGAAAGGCATCTTTCCTTCAATCTAGCATAAAGAAACCTTGGGATTGATGATACTGTATTTTCTGGGCCTCTGACATAACAATTACTTAGAGGTTTTTTGTTTTTTTGTTTTTTTTTTTTAAACTTCATCAAGATAAAAATGGTACCATCAGACATTTACTGATAATTCACATGCCAAGAGGAATCATATCCTGAGAGAAAGCACGCTCTACTGCACAAGATGTTGCCCTTAGGAAGTTTATTAAAATATTACAGAGACACATGGAGAGGAGAGATTACTAAACCTGCATAAAAGAATTATAAATTTGGCTATTGAACTAAAAGTGCCCCCCCTACTTTTTTTTTGAGACCGAGTCTTGCCCTCTTGCTCTGTTCCTCAGGCTGGAGTGCAGTGGCACAGATCTCGGCTCACTGCAACCTCCACCTCCCGGGTTCAAGTGATTTTCCTTCCTGAACCTCCTGAGTAGCTGGGATTATAGGTGTGCGCCACCACACCCAGCTAATTTTTGTATTTTTAGTAGAGATGGGGTTTTACCATGTTGCCCAGGCTGGTCTTAAATCCAGGGCTCAAGCAATCCACCTGCCTCAGCCTCCCAGAGTGCTGGGATTACAGGTGTGAGCCACCACACCCAGCCTGAACTAAAGGTTTAAAAGAAACATGTAAAATGTGGAAACATGGAGACCTCAAGGAAGTAGATGAAGCTTTCTTACCACTCCTTGTTTGTCTCTCAGAAAAATTTGCTCTAGATCGATCAGTTTCAAAGACCATGATTGTGCCAAGTGTGGTAGTTGATGCGGTTGCCACAGTAAAATGTCATCCACACAGGGGTGGCTCTGTGTGGGACTCTCCTGTCACTCATGATGATCAAGTTGCAGGTGCACCCAGGAAAACTGGCCACTTCTAACTCTTCTCTCCTCCTTCCCCCAACTCTCCCTTCTCCCCACAGTTCCATCAAAAGACACTTGTTCTCTGTCTGCTTTCTTCTTTCCCATAAAGTGGTCAAACTGGAGATCCAGCTCTGGCCATAATCTGGGTCTGTTCAGCCCTAGCCATTATTGGTCAATATATATTCTCTTGCTCTCAGTTTATCTCTGTTTAAATCCTTCTTGGACTGCAGGGATTTCCTTTCAATCAAAACCTATTGAGGGCAAACAACTTCAGGGCAAAACACCAGAAGCTAATTGCACTGCTTCCCCGCTCTTGGTATGGAGACATCTGGGCTGAGGAGGAGATCATGTGTAATAAAGTGCTGCAGAACTGTGCTTTCCAGGGGTTCTTTGTGTGTTCGCTGGCTCCAGCACCTCACTACAATTGTATATCCAGGCAGTCAAATGCCTGGACACAGTAGGATTTAATTGTTCTTGGGTCTATCAGTTTTAATTCTACATTAACCATGTAAAATAATAATATGGTCAGAAAAAATTAAAGGCTATTTTAAAATATATATTTTTTTCACAACAGGGACTAATCATTTTTGGCAAAAGAGTATATCACCATGTTTAGGTGATTCTTTGGTTATCTCAGAGTATTAGCAGAAGCCTCAACATCCAAGAATGCCACAATAGGAGCCCAGTACTTCTATATTCTAAGGCAAGATGCCAGTCTGTCTGCAAAGAACATGGTAGGGGATTGGGAGCCTGGTTCTGCCAGCATCAGCCTTTCCCACCTTCAGGCCTTATGAGAGAGGCCACATTTCTCTGGAGAGAATTGTCAGACACCTTCTCTCAAGCCAAATGAGAAGGTTTAAAGACGTCTAAGCAGGAGATGGACCTCTGTCCCTGGGAATGTCAGGGAATGAGAGACTCTCAGACTCACTGCTGAGAAGCGCAAAGGTGAAGGTCATGGCTAGTTGGGTCAAGGGTGCCAGAGGGCTGAGCTGGGAGCCAGCAGGGAAATAATGAAGAAGCACGATCCCCATGGTCTGCTGCAGACCTCGTGGATGGGAGCTGGACTGGGTGTTTTTAAGAGATACTCTCACTGAGGGAACAGCAGTGGATTGTGTATCTTCTAGAAGGACCATCCGGTGTCTTAATTCCCAAGCAGGTTGGCCACCACCAACTATGGAGAGGCAGTTGCATACACTGCTTCTGCCATTCTAGTGGGGGAATTCATAGCCAAAGAGATATATATATATATATATCTCCTTTATATATATATCTCCTGATATATATATATATATATATATATATATATATATATATATATCACACACACATATATATGTATATATGTATATAGAGAGAGTCTATATGAAGTTATGTGGCCAGAGAAAGAGTTTTAGGTGTCAAAACTCTTTTAGATGACAAATTTGTCTGTAAATTTGAGCAGGATAACAACAGGCAGTCTGGCAGGAGATGGTGTCTGTCTTCTCTGTTTGCCTCCTCCTTCATGCACCTTTCTCCTGGCTGAAGGAGCAGCTCAGCAGAGTTCCAGAATCATCTGCAAATTGCACAGGGAGGATGCTTTGCATTTCAGAGCCTCTATGTGGTAGAGGTGGGGACTGAAGAGCTGACTTAGTAGAAACAGGTGTAAAGGTCTTAAAATGAACTTGAGGATGCTGAGCTGCTGTTCCAACCCTTCCAGTCAGTGACACTGGGGAAGAGGCACAGTCTACGAGGGCTCTGTGCTGATGATGCAGTAGAGGGGGCTGTCTATGGTTTTTACTGAGTCCTGTAGGAGATCCACGGAATGAGAAGCCACATGGGAAGCTGGGATGGGCCTTGGAGGGCAGCCAGTCTAGCCTAACTGACCTAATTTCACTTTACAGGTAAGTAAACTGTAATTTACTTGGGGCAGACCCAAGTCCACGCAATTACCACATGGTGATAAGCAAGAGGAGGGACAGCTACATCACTTTCGAATTACACGGGTTTTGTCTGTTTTGTTTTTGTTTCTATGCCAACAACTATTTCTGGCCTTGAAAGTTATCAGTTCAGCAGAGGAAGCACTGCAGGCAGCTCCTGGGCCCTGGGGTCAGGTTGCAGATTCATCACCTAGCTACTTGTTTGTGGTGTTATCATCTTTTTCTCCCTGACATATCTTGGAACTTGACTAAATCTGATATATTTCTCAACAGTAAGTACAGCGACATAAAGCAATTAGGAAAAAATGTTTTTTACTAAGAGCATGAACATTTACGCATTATTTATTTAAAATGTATTATTTTTTTTTACCTCTTGGTTGCCGTCTTTCCTTTGGGACTTTGTTATTCCGAGTTAAGTGTTTTCTATGTCTGTGTTTCTTTCTCCCTGAGAAAATAGGAAAATATAAATACGGATGGTGTAAAAAACTCACATTATATATAATAGTGCTTTCAAAAATTTTCTTCAGCTATAACTTTTCCAGAGCTTAACACACAAAGAAAAATACGTAACACATAGCCTTGCAATGACCAAGCCTTTGGTGGTTAACCTGGGTTCATCCTAGATTTTCTTTTCCTTACCGTGACATTAATCCAAATTCATTTGTCCCCCTACATTAATTTTAAAAAGAACTTAAGACAGTTTCATTTACATCCCAAAGAATACTGTAAGAATAATAACAATGATGAGGGCTAAGACTTGAGTGCTTATTATGTGCTAGACATGAACACAAGATATGTACATCTACTAATTCATTTATGAGATAGAGACTTTTACTCCTCCTATTACCAATGAAGAAACTTCAGCATACAGATATTGCAAAATGAAGTGAAGCATTGCCGATTTCCTCTGGTTGTGAGGAAATCAATGGCAGCAACGCAAGAATTTGGATTGTCCCACTCATTTTGATGGTGAGACACCAGCCACCATCTTAGCCCTCAGTGAAGGCGTTGAGGCTGAAAATACAGTGAAAATGACCAAAGACCTTATTCACATAGGTTTGGCCAAAAAATTAGGATCTAAGGAACTAACCAAGAGACTATTGCCCAAGGGGAATTTGTATAGAGATTCAAATCCCAGAAAGCCTCGTGGTTAGGACTAACAAAGGGTTGATTGAAACCCTATCTCGGGAGTATGCTGTTAGATTCAGGAGGTGATGGGGGTAGGTAGAAAGACAGTGAGGTATGTGCAGGAGCACCTCATGAGTGCCATGTTTAAAGGTGCTGATATCTCAGGCAAGGCCATAAAGTTCCTCTCCTCTCCTCTCCTCTCCTCTCCTCTCCTCTCCTCTCCTCTCCTCCCCACCCTCCCCTCCTCTCCTTCCCTTCATCCTTCCCTCCCTCCCTCTTTCCCTTCCCAATCTGTCTCCCTGTATTTTTCTTTCCTTTCTTTCTTTCTATGACCTGGCCACAATTTGAACTTGTCCAGCCATAGATATCTTAGACAAACAAAGACTCTTTTCCTGTCCCTCTATGTCTTTGGTCCTGTTGTAGTCGCCTGTCATCAAAGTCCATTGAGGACAAACAAATTAGAGGTGTACAAGTAGTTTAGTTCAGTTTACTTGAGTTCTACTTACAAGGAGATTTGGAGCTTAAGATCTGCTAATACTATGGAGCTCTTGGGACTTCCTTTGTAATTATTCTATGCAAATTGTCTTGCTCAAATACCCCACAGGAAGTAGTGTGGCAATTCTTGGATTTCCTACCCAAGTGCTAACAGTTAATACCATGTTCTTGCTATAGAAGTTGAGTAACTTGCTCCTGCCTCCTTAAGGCAACTGAGAAGACTACAACTTCAAGGTAACTGATCTTCACCTTCAGGAGTTTGAGGAAGGCAGAGACATTTATAGACTCAATCCTAGAATGTCGAGAGGGTCTGAAGAGTCATAATTCCTATAGGTCTCCCTGGGGAAAGGAGGAGCTCACTTAGTTCTTCTTGAGAGATATTCTGTCTGGGAGAATCACTTGGGTGGATGAGTTGACCCCAGCAGGAGTGTCGTGTGGACCTCCCAGAGCTGGGAGACTGAGGGAATTGGTAAGCGGCCAGTTGAAGTTCCTGAATTAGGGGAACTTCAGTTGAGAGGTTCTCTCTAAGTTGAGTGTCTCTGAAGAACTCACAAATGAATATGGCTCATGCATCCACCAATATCTCGGAGACACAAAAATCTGTAAGGTTGGTGCAAAAGTAATTGCAGTTTTTGCTATTCCTTTTTTTTTTTTTAAGGCAAAACCCACAATTACTTTTGCACCAAGCTATATAGTATGAGGGCCATTCCTGCTCCTGTCCACTTCTTTCTCCCTCTCCTCCTAGACCCAAATTAGTTGAAAGCAATAGACACTCAGTGGAGGTGGAGAGGAAGTGTGGATGAAAGGAAATGCTGACTTCACCCAGCTTCCCTACCACATGGTTTCCAGTTTTAATATTATATCAGCTCAGGCTTTTAAATATTAAATGAGATATTACTGCTAAAAGGGACTAGCATAGCTCTAGGGCTTACCTAAGACTTCATTCATGGGCAAGAAAATAACTATTTGAGAGAACAGGTTTGAAAAGTAAGTAGAAGGAATAAATGTGATTTCTGCTTAGACTTAACAAATCCAAGTATTTTAATAAAATAGTTAAGGTAGGGAGGCTTCCATAGAAACCAGTAAAAACATGAAGGAAGAAACATCTCAGACCTGGGTAAGTACAAACTAGAATATAACCAAGATGACAGATAGGTATAGAAATAAAAATGACAGAGATGCTGGAAATATTACATGTATATACTTACTTATAGTAGAGTTATATTTAAAGTTATATTTGAAAATAGTTATATCATATATAAACAAATGTATATATGTGTATGAGTGACAGAAATAATTAGAAATCATGGGAAAAAATATATCCAAATATGCTTTAGCTCTAGAGGAAAAAGTGCTGCCATCTCTACAGTGCCATATCAACTTGCCAGAAATATTTTACAAGATGTAAAACAAAAAAATTAAATAAGGTATGCAAGAGAAACATAAGTAGAATGGGAGAGGAAAGGAAATAAAGGAGAGACAAAGAAGAGGAAGAAAAGGAGGAATGCAATAAACATAAAATCCACAAGATCTGATGAAGAGAATGGAGTGTCACATCTTTTTTATCTTCAAGTGCCCAGTGTGGCATATGCTCTGATTGAGTTTGGTTCACTGCCTGTAATCCCAGCATTTTGGGAGGCCGAGGCAGGTGGATCACCTGAGATCAGGAGTTCAAGACCAGTCTGGCCAACATGGCAAAACCCTGTCTTTACTAAAAATACAAAAATTAGCCTGTAATCCCAGCTACTTGGGAGGCTGAGGCAGGAGAACTGCTTGAACCTGGGAGGCGGAGGTTGCAGTGAGCTGAGATTGTAGCACTGTACTCCAGCCTGGGTGACAGAGGAAGACTCCATCTCAAAAAAGAAAATAAATAAATAAATAAAATAAAATAACCCCGTGTTTCTCAGGCTTCAATCTGATGTGGCACCAGTACTCTGGCTTCCATGTAATTGATTCAAGTTATCTCTGTCTATTTCTTCATGTTCTGTCCCGGACTGTATTAGTTACAACACACCTTTCTAACACTTCCTCCTGTTGCCTCATTTCCTAATCAGGACTGGCATGTCTCTGCCCACATAGCTCTGTAATGCCTCTCAGCTTCCGGCTCCTGTGCTTGCCAAAGAGTCTCAGGTGACAAAAAGGCTGGATCTGAATCAATGGAGAGTCTGAGTTTTCCTCTTTATTTAAGGGAATCAGTGACTTTGGAGGCAAACATGAAGGGCAAGTAGGCATATTGCTATTTGTCACCCATAATCATTCCTTCTTCCATAAGAATAGACTTACAGCTGAACCAAAGACTGCCTGGCCAGCGTTACATTTCTCAGCCTCACTTTGCAGCTAGCTCTGGCCATGTAACCAAGTTTTGGCCAATGGGATGTTGGCAGAAGACTTCTGAGTCTTTCTATTAAAATAAACAAATGGCTGGTTCTTTTGTCAGTTTTTTTTTTCTTTCCCACTGGTTGGGAGACAATGTCAACCAGATCAGCTCTTGTGGACCCACTGTTGGAAACCTCATGTCAAGGAAGGCAGACTGCCTACCACTTCTGGGCTCTTAGATTATTTGTTTTAAGCCACTGTATTTTGGGATCTGTTTGTTACAATGACTTAGCTGGTACTCTAAATAATCCATTGGGTCTGAAGCTACCACGGCCCATAGGAGATTTTGAGGCTGCAGCAAGGATGGCGTCTGGCAGGAAGAACAGGACCACAGCGAGTTCAAAGGAGTAAATTCCCACATTTCTTCTTACCTCTTTGGAGACCATTTACTTTAAGTATATGTTTTCTCTTTTTTCCTGCACACAGAAAAGAAAGAAAATAATCCTCTATAACTGTAAACAAAGATTTGCACACTTTTTATGTCAATAGTTTCCAAGTATTTAATTTTGTTTTCCTTCCACTTTTGTGGGGCTAAGTCCTCGGCTACCAACATCCCATCTTGGTTGTTGTCACAGAGAAACCAATAACCACAAAGCAACCTGTTTTCACACAGTGTTAGTCATTTACACTATGCTTGTACATATCCATATGTGGTCTTATCATTCACAATAAAGAAAGATTTTAAAGTAGCTGAAATCAAGCAGGAGGTGACAGGAGCAGCAGAAGAGTACCAGGAGGGTCAAACAATAGTAGGTCTAAGAAATCACCAGTGATGGCCAGGCACAGTGGCTTGTGCCTGGAATCCCAGCACTTTGGGAGGCCAAGGTGGGTGGATCACTTGTAGGCCAGGAGTTTGAGACCAGCCTGACCAACATGGCAAAATCCTACCTCTACTAAAAATACAAAAATTAGCCTGGAGTGGTGTCATGCACCTGTAGCCCCAGCTACTTGGGAGGCTGAGGCAGGACAATTGCTTGAACCTGGAAGGAGGAGATTGCAGTGAACTGTGATTGTGCCACTGCACTTCAGTCTAGGCGTTAGAGTAAGACTCAGTCTCAATAAATAAATAAATAAAATAAAAAAAGAAAGAAATTACCAGTGAAGTACACTTCATGGAATTCAGAGGCATGCTTTGAATAGCTAAGGCTGTAATTGTGTTTATAATAGCCAGAACTTAAGAAATAAGTAGAAAAAAAATCAGAGAAATGAAGATAAATTTAGAAGAAAAATAAAGGAGATGAGGCATTTCAGAAATTAAAGTGAAGGACATATATTACAGAAATAGGAAAAGGAAACAAGAAATTTTAAGAATGATTAAACAAATTAGAAATCAAGCTGGGTGCAGTGGCTCACCCCTGTAATCTTAGCACTTTGGGAGGCTGAGGCAGGTGGATCACCTGAGCTCAGGAGTTTGAGACCAGCCTGGCCAACATGGCGAAACCCCGTCTCTCCTACAAATAAAAAAATTAGCTGGCATGGCAGCACATGCCTGTAGTCCCAGCTACTCGGAAGGCTGAGGCAGGAGAATCACTTGAACCTGGGAGGCAGAGGTTGCAGTGATCTGAGATGACTCCACTGCACTCCAGCCCGGGTGACAGAGTGAGACACTCTTTCAAAAATAAAATAACATAAAATAAAAATTAGAGAGAAAATAATCAATGTAAGTGAACAAATTATTGGAGTTCCCAAAGCAGAAAATCAAAATAATAGAAGAAATACTTAATGAAAAAAGTTTGTGCAATTATAATGTAAATTGAAATGTTTACATCAAAAGTACCTATCTCTTCACCCTGTCACAGAGAAATTGACCCAAAATAGCCAACACTGAGATATATTTTCAACACATTTATTGGACTTTAAAGATAAAGAAATAATTGAATGGGCAGTGTAGGCAAAAAGTTATTTTCAAGGGAGACTTATTGGCCACAAAATTTTCCACAGCAACATTTAATGCCACAGGAAAGTGGAGAAAAACCTGTAAGATATTTCTAGAAATAAAGAATGAGCAAACTATTTTTCAGGTATAAATAACACAAACAAATTTGAACAGAAACATTCTTGGAATGTAGTTTCTGAGTCCTCATTACTTCAGCAAACTAAGGTAGAGCTGAAAATTCTGGCAAAAGGATCAAAATAAAAGTGGGCAGTAGGGTGACAGATGAGAATATGAAGTGCATATGCTCTGACAATAAAGAAATAGTATAATAACAAAAAATATGAGGAGAAGGGTTAGGTGCAGTGGCTCATGCCTGTAATCCCAGCACTTTGGGAAGCATAGGTGGAAAGATCACTTGAAGCCAGAAGTTTGAGACCAGCTTGGGCAACCTAGCAAGACCTCGTCTCTACAAAAAATTTGAAAGCATTAGCAAGCTATGGTGGTGCATACCTGCAGTCCTAACTACTCAGGAGGCTGAGGTAAGAGGATCACTGGAGCCCAGGAGTTAGAGGTTGCAGCTAATATTGCACCACTGCCCTCTAGCATGGGTGACAGAGTGAGACCCTGTCTCAAACAAAACAAAACAAAACAAACAAACAAACAAAAAACAGGGAGGAGAAAGCAAAAATAGGCTGTAGAGCAAGTTCTTTGTTTATTTTAAAGGTAGGAGTCCAAAGGTATTGTGTTGATGTAATGCAAGGTTAATGGCTGAAAGGTAAACATGGTGATGTCATGGCCTAAAATTGGGTGGGAGAGGAAAAAGACTGGACAATGGAATGGCACACAGGCTGATTTTATAAATCTTCTGGGTGGGAAACTAAAGGGTACTGTCTAAAATAGAGCACCAAAGGAATCATATAAAGGTAATCCTAAAAGTAATCACTAGAACAAAATGCAAACCTTCTTTAAATTGGAAGTATACGCTCCTAACCACTGAGAAAATACGAAATGAGTGTGGGCTGCTTACCCATTCATTTATTTCAAGGGAAAGACTCAGAGGTGGCTCACATATCTTCTGCTCATATGCCGTTGGCTAGAACCTAATGACGTGGTCACAGTGAACTGCAAGGAAGGCTGAAAGTATAATGATATGGTCTGGCTCTGTGTCTCCAAACCTCATGTCGAATTGTAATCCCCATGTGTTGGGGGAGGGGCCTGGTGGAAGGTGATTGGATCACAGGGGCAGATTTTCCCCTTGCTGATCTTATGATAGTGAGTTCTCACAAGATCTGGTGGTTTAAAAATGTGGCACTTCAGCAGCCAGCACTGAAACTCACAACTGCCTAAAACGCTAAGTTCCCTTGGCAGGGGAAGGGTGGCATCCATCTCCACAACTCCAGGCCATGCTTTTCCTCAGCTGGAGCAAGGGAGACTGGACGGCTTGGTCCCAAGATGTGTCCCCCAAAGCCCAACACGCTGGCTGTGGCCTACTGCAGCCAGAGTGCCTCTTCAGGCCTGACCCTGACTCATCCTTCCTCACTGGATGGGGCTTCCCTGCAGGAACTCCAATAACTCCAGCCAGAGGCTCAGGGACAGAACCCATATCTCCTTGGGCCTGAGCCCATAGAGAAAAGGCCACAGTCTCCATGAACCAGCAGACTAGCCTTTCCTCCTGGTAGTTCTGAGGAATCCAGGCAGCCCAGACAACTTGGTTTCCCCCCAGCAAAGCACACCTCCTACACCAAGGGACAGTCATTGTGCTTCATTGAATAAAGCCTCCAAGAAATATGGGACTTTATAAAAAGACCAAACCTACGATTGATTGGAGTACCTGAAAGAGATGGGAAAAATGGAAACAAGCTGGAAAACATACTTCAGGATATTATCTAGGAGAACTTCCCCAACCTAGCAAGGCAGGCCAACATGCAAATTCAGGAAATACAGAGAACACCACCTAGATACTCCACGAGAAGGTCAATTCCAAGACACATGATCATCAGATTCTCCAAGGTCCAAATGAAGGAAAGACCAGAGAGAAAGGCCAGGTCACCTACAAAGGGAAGCCCATCAGACTAAACAGTAGACCTCTCAACAGAAACTCTACAAGCCAGAAGAGATGGGGTGCCAATATTCATTATTCTTAAAGAAAAGAATTTTCAATACAGAATTTCATATCCAACCAAACTAAGCTCCATAAGTGAAGGAGAAATAAAATCCTTTTCAGACAAGCAAATGCTGAGGGATTTTGTTACTACTAGGCCTGCCTTGCAAGAGTTCCTGAAAGATGTGCTAAATAAATAAAGAAAAAGCCAGTACCAGCCGCTGCAAAACACACTAAAATATAAAGACCAATGACACTATGAAAAATCTGCATCAACTAGTGTGCAAAATAACCAGATAGCATCTTGATGACAAGATCAAATTCATGCATAACAATACTAACCTTAAATGTAAATGGGCTAAATGCCCCAATTAAAAGACACAGACTGGCAAATTGGATAAAGAGTCAAGACCCATTGGTGTGCTGTATTCAGGAGACCCATCTCACCTGCAAAGACATGCATAGGCTCAAAATAAGGGAATGGAGGAAAATTTACCAAGCAAATAGAAAGAAAAAAAAAAAAAGCAGATGTTGCAATCTTAGTCTCTGACAAAACAGACTTTAAACCAACAAAGATCAAAAAAGACAAAGAAGGGCATTACATAATGGTAAAGGGAAAAATTCAACAAGAAGAGCTAACTATTCTAAATATATATGCACCCAATACGGGAGCACCCAGATTCATAAAACAAGTCCTTAGACTCCCACATAATAATAGTGGGAGACTGTAACACCCCACTGTCAATATTAGACAGATCAATGAGACAGAAAATTAAGGATATTCAGGACTTGAACTCAGTTGTGGATCAAGTGGACCTAATAGACATCTACAGAACTCTCCACCCTAAATCAACAGAATATATATTCTTTTCAGTGTCACATGGTACTTATTCTAAAATCGACCACATAATTGGAAGTAAAACACTCCTCAGCAAGTGCAAAGAACTGAAATTGTAACAGACAGTCTCTCAGACCACAGCACAATCAAATTAGAACTCAGGACTAAGAAACTCACTCAAAACCACTCAATTACATGGAAATTGAACAACCTGCTCCTCAATGACTCCTGAGTAAATAAAGAAATTAAGGCAGAAATCAGGAAGTTCTTTGAAACTAATGAGAACAAAAAGACAGTGTACCAAAATCTCTGGGACACAGCTAAAGCAATATTAAGAGGGAAATTTATAGCACTAAATGCCCACATCGGAAAGCTAGAAAGATCTAAAATCAATACCCTAGTATCACAATTAAAAGAGCCAGAGAGACAAGAGCAAACTAATCCAAAAAACCAGGAGCTGGTTATTTGAAAAAATTCCCAAAATAGATAGACTGCTAGATAGGCTAATAAAGAAGAAAAGAGAGAAGAATCAAATAGACACAATAAAAAATGATAAAGGGGATATCACCACTGACCTCACAGAAGTACAAACTACCATCAG